GGCCGCCCCAGCCCGGGGCCTCCGGCACCTCGTGGGGGGCTCCGCGGAGCACGCTGGCCGCCTGGTAGGTGTCCCGCCACTGCCGCAGCTGGTCTGCCTGCTCCTGCGCCAGGTAGAGGGACTTGGGCACCAGCCCCCCTTCCGGGACGTTACACTGGGACAGAGGAGGGCGGCGGGTCAGGGCGGCCCCACAGCGGGACCCCGCACCCGAAACCACACGCCCGCCTTCAAGAGGGGGCCCAGCGCCCTGTGTGGTAGGAGCCCTGGTTCCCCTGTGTCAGGGTGGAGGAGGCGGGCCCCCGAGGCCAGGCCCCCGCACAAGGCCACGCAGCGGAAAGCGCCCGGGCCGGGCGCGGGCTGGCGGGCTCCGGCCCTCCTCACCGTGCACCCCAAGTGGGCCAGCGTCCGCCGCCCTCGGCCCTCCAGGCCCCCTGCTAATCATTAATCGTGCACGTGTGGAAAGAAGAGGCAGCTGGGAGATCCCTGGGAAACGCCCTTTCCTGCCCAGAGATGACGCGAGCTGGCTGCTCCGGGGAGCTTCTGTAGAGGAGGGCCAGGAGCCGACCCCAGCCGGGCAGAGAGGCGCCATGACCCGGGCGCCTGCCCGTCTCCCCCAGCGGCTAGTCGGGGCCGGTCTCGACCTAGGGGAACGCACCCAGCGGTGACCCTGCCGAGCTGGGTGGGTGAGAAAGCTGGCACAGGCAGCCGGACTGGCCCGGTCCTGGACCTTCCAGTTAGTCCACTGTTTTTGGAAGACCCAGAAAGGAAGGTCCGTCCTGCAGAGGAGCCACCTGTCCTTGGGCAGCTCCTGAAACAAGTCCCCTCCCAGAGCCGGGCTGCGACAGGGAGGCCGCCAGTGTCCCCGGGGCCGTCCTCCTGGGTGCCCGCCACGAGGCCTTGCCCAAGCCACCCACCCCTGCGCCCGGCCCTGCAGGGAGCCGTCTCCTCCCCCCGCCCCAGCCCCGCCCCGGGAGCCCACCTCAGCGGCCACAGCCACGCCTCCGCCGCCGACCCTGCCTCTGGCACAGCAGAACACTCACCACACACTCTCCCCCAAGGAAGTCGGGGATCACTTCTTTCTCCAGGTAGTCCACAAGGCCGCCCGGGCCCTGGCAGTTGCTGCCACTATAGATGAGGAACTTCTGCCTGGTGTTCTCATTGATGAAGGGGCTGATCTGAAAAGGGGAGACGAGGCCAGGTGGGAAGTTGTGGGCTTTTCCATTGAGCTGTAACTCATGCGGCACAGAATTAGCCACTGTACTGTGAACAAGTCAGCGGCTTTAAATTCACTCACTGTGTTGTGCAACCTTCACCTCTATCTTACTTCAAAACAGGCCGCCACCCGTGAGCAGGCTGGCCCACCCCGCTCCCTGGCCCTGGCAGCTGCCCGGCCGCTGTCCCTAGACGACTCTTCTGGACACTCCACAGACCTGGCGTCACACAACCTGCGGGCTTTGTGTCGGGTTCCTTCATGGCATGACGTCATGTGCACTGTGGCCTGGGCCAGTGCTCCTTTTCATCGCTGTGTAATATTCCACACGTGGCTGACCGTGTGCAGCTCATCCCAGATGGGAAGTATTTCAGCCCCGAAACACTGCCTGTCAATATGGTTGCTCACGACACCCCGCTGCGGGGATGGGTTCTCACTCAATAAATAGGGAAGAAAGGAGGGAGAAAGGGAAGGAGGAAGGGAGGGACTTAGCATGGCCGCACTCAGGCAACTCAGCAGCAGGTGCCTCCGGCCCAAATGGGTGGAAAGCCGGGACTCCACCTGTGTGGGCCACCTCGGCCCCCACCCCAAGGGGGTGTCCCCTGCAGGTCTCGGGCACCTGGCTTCCGCCTGGGGTGGGCTCTGGGGGTTAGCAGCATGAGATGGATGAGAACCAGGCGGGGGGCCCGCCCCCTCAAGGCCTGGAGCGCCACACTGCTGGCAGCCCCGGCCCTCACCCGTGGGCGTCAGAACCTGCCGTCCGTCCCCTTGTCCTCACCCTGGGGTGCCCTGGCTTGCTGCAGAGGCTGGTCCCTGGGGTCTCTCCCTGCTGGCACCAGCTAGGCACAGAGTTCCCTCTTGGCCTCCCACGACTGCAGCCGTGTGGGTGAGGGCTGCCACCAGCTAACCAGCCACACTGCGGGTCTCGTGCCGCAGGCGCGTGGGTGCTCACCTGTGGGTGCAGGCAGCCACACACGTGCGCCCAGCTCAATGTCAGTGTCCAGGGAAGTCCCCACATCCTGGAGCACAGACCCCAGCGCCCCCTGAGTGGCCGCCGGGCACGGGGAGGCCACGCGGCTCTGGGGAGGCTCTCGTTTCCCCGCAGGACAAGGCCACCTCGGACGTGGTCTCTCCACACAAAGGAGAATGTGTCACACACAGAGGGGAGGCGCCTGACCAGAGGCGTGGAGGCTCCGCGGGGCGGGGAGCAGACGCCGGCGGCCCCTGTGGGGTCCACCCGTGGGAGGGGCCAGGCCCCGCAGGCCCAGGCGTGGGGGTGGGGGCCGGGGCCGGCCGGGGGCAGCGGCTGCCGATGGGCACGAGGTGGCCTTTGGGCTGAGAGTGTCCGGGAAGGCGGTGACAGCCGCCTGCTCCGGGTTGTGCGGAAACCTGAGCTCTACGCTCCGAGGGGGCAGGTGGCCGCAGAAAGCCGTCCCCAGGAGACGGGCGAGGCGGTGGCGCCTCCGGGGGCCCCGCCCTCTCTCACCAGCGTCCAGAGCACCGGGAAGACGCGGGGCGCCCGCACGATCAGCAGGCGGCCCAGCGTCTCGGGGTAGTTGGCCTCCACCGCCTCGATGATGCGCAGCAGCGCCTTCACGCCCGGCCGCCACAGGTGCCGCATGTTGAGGCCCTCCAGGTCCACCAGGCAGGTCCAGGAGCTGGGCAGAGAGGGGACCCCGTGCTCCAGCTGGGTCCGCCCCTGCCCAGGGTGCCCGGCGCCCCCGCGGGGACCGGGGCTGGCAGGCAGGGGGACGGAGCGGCTGAGCGAGGCGGCGGGAGCGGCATGGCCACCCTCCCGGGGCCCCCAGGTCGGAGGCCACAGCGGAGGGCCAGAGCGTGGCGTCTGCAGTGAACCCCGTGGCGTGCCACGGGCAGCCCCCCTCGGGTGGGGACAGGGGCGCAACCGACGACGTCTCCACCCCTGCCGGAAGGTCAGGGCACAGGCCTGCTTCCGTCAAAGCCAGCCCCGCGGCCTGGAGGGGCCGAGCACACACCGAGGCCGCCTGCCCCTGCCGTGCGGCTCTGGCCAAGTCGCTTCACCTCTCTGTGCCTCCCCGTCTCGCTCGGGCCGGCAGCGGCCAGTTCCCGGGGCTCCTGTCCCAGCCCCCAGCTCTCCCCCAGCCCACCTGCCAGGGGCCTTCCGACACCCTGTGGTTGCGCCTTCTGGGGGCCAGCCTCGCTCTGGACAGGCCCCTGAGGGAGCGCCCCTCCCTGCGCCTGAAGCCAGCCTCTCGGGAGGCTTCGGGCCAGAAGCCCCACCGTCCTCGCCCGCAGCGCCAGGCTGCAGACTGGGGCCTTGGTCTGAGCCCCTAACGGGCCCTGGAAGCGCCTCGCAGAGGAGGGGACAGCTGTGCAGAGAGGCTCGGAGTTCTGAGGGCAGAGGCCTGTCCAGCAGACGCGGGAGTCGGGGCGAGAGCCGGTGCTGTGCCCTGGCAGCTGCCCGCGCGGCAGGGTCCAGGCGGAGTGGGGGGAGGGGCTGATCTCGGAAGGGGCCTGCGAGCCTGCAGCCGGAGCCCGCAGCTGGTGCCGCCTGGCGCCGGGCAGCCTCCCGGTGCCCACAGGGCAGGTGGGAGGCAGAGCCCCTCCCGGCCTCGCCGCCAGGACCGCCCCCGCCCGCTCCACGGAGCCCGGCCGCTGGCAGCGCCCTCACCTGATGGGGCGACCAAACTCTTTGGTGTTCCCCTCACACCTCTTCTGGCCCTCCTCGTTGACCGAGAGAACCTGGCGGGCAGAGAGCGCGCTGGCAACCTTGCCGCTCACCCGCGGCAGCCCAGGGCCGGGAGGGCCAGCCCACTCACGTGCTGCAGCAGGGCCTCCTCCCCCACGGCCTTCATCAAGCCCTTGGTGTCCATGTGGCCCAGGCGCAGGATGTAGAGGGGGCGGCCGTCTGGGCACCAAGCAGAGAGAGGGCGTTACTCAGGGGATGCTGACGAAAGGGCTGGATCCCGGCAGCCGCCAGGACGTGGCTCTTGCTTCACCTTCCTGGAGAAGGCGCTGGCTGGGTGGGGCTCCGTGTCCAGCCCCTGGTGTATTCACAACCCCCCGCCCGGCAACTCCGGACCCCAAAAGAGCAGGAAGGAGAACTAAGGTGCCAGAGCGCAAAGTGGGGGTGCCAGGAAGGCGGGGACGCACCTATGTCCTGGTAGTGCCAGCCGCCCGCGTAGAACTCCTCCAGGAGGGCGGGGGGCCGCCAGGTCTGCAGGAGGAGGTCCACCTGGTGCTGCCGCCGCCAGAGCAGCGACTGGCGCAGCATCTCGCGGGCCTTGTCCAGGTGGAAGTCGCGAGCCCGCAGGAACCGCAGGATGTGCTCGTCCTTGGGGATCTGGCAGGGAAGACGAGCCGGCCGTGGGAGGCGCCCGTCACCCCCGTGAAGGACCCGCCCTGCGCCCGCGACGCCCGGCGCGGTGTGGCCCCGGGTGGACACCCCCGCCCGCTCGAGCTGGAAGCGCAGCTCCGTGCCCAGGGGCCCGGCCTCCCGCCCACTCCCAGCTGCCCGCTCGGTTCCCTGCCCTCCTCCGCTCCAGCCCCGGGAGCCCGTGCCTGGGCCCATCAGGTGCTGGACACTCCAGGTCAGAAGACGGGCGGGGCCCTCCGTGCAGAGCCAGGAGGCGCCGGCCAAGGAGCCGTGTCCGAGTGGCCAGCGGAGACAGGCGGCCGGAGGGGTCACTGGCCCTGGGCAGCCGGCCGCTGGGCCCCGCCTCACGCCCACCCAGAACCCCGAGTGTCCCTTCTTCGGACGGGGGGTGTCCGTGGTGTGAACTGGCGAATGCGGGCCTGCCGCTGGGCGCGGGCCCTGCCCCATTGGGGTGCCCACCAGGACAGGCCGCGGGACGAGGGCCCTGAGACGGAGGCCGGCCGGAGCGGGCAGGCAGGCAGGGCCTCCAGGGGAGCCACAGCACGACCCCCTGCCTGCCGCCCCCAGCGCCCAGGGGCAGTGAGCGGCCGTTAAGCCGCCCAGTCTGTAGCACTCCCAGCCAGCAAGTCCCCCGGCCCCTCACCTTTGACCTTGTCGATCAAACTGCCCCACGCAGAACCCCACGCACACCCGCCCGACAGCTGGCGCCGCTGCCAGCACGGCTCCGCCCGCTCTCCCTCCCCTCGGGCCCGGGCAGTCAAGCGCAACAGGGCCACTCTGGTCAGAGACGCGAGCCGACGTCATCCCCACTTATGGAGGGGCGGCCAGGGAGCCACACTCACTCCTGACACTCAGCACCCCGCAAGGAGGCCCTGGAGGGGCCCACTGCCCCCAGCTAAGCAAGAAGTCCCTGCTGGGCAGCACTGAAGGGCAGGGTCGCCCTGCCGGGAAGCAGAGCTGCCCCGTCTGGCGCCCGGCTGCGCGGCCGGTCACTCCGCAGGGCTGGGCGGGGGATGCTGCCCGGCACCCCCGCGCAGGGACAGCCCCCCGGAGCCGCCGGCCTCGGAGGCGGGCGTGTGGCCGTGCGTCTCCTGACGGAGCCTTCCGGTGGTGGTCTTCGCTGGCCCCACGCCTGCAGGCGTCGCCCCGCAGCGTCGGCCCGGCTGGGCACACCCCTGAGGGTCACCCCGCTTCTGAGGCCCGGCGCTTGGGCTCACTCAGCAGAGCGTCGGCTCCCTTCTGGGCCCGGGACCGGTGTGTGCCCGCCCCAGGGCAGTATTCTCAGGGCGGACCGCAGTGGCTCCGAGGTGTGTCTCCTGGTGCTGAGGCTGGGCCCACGCCGGGGTACACACCCGACGGGGTGATGAGAAGGAGAGGACCTCCACCGCCGGCGCGCAGCCCCCCTGCTCCCCAGGGCCAGGCCGCCGGGGCCGCCCAGGCCCGCTGCACCCACCTTGCCTCTGTGGGTCTCCTGCAGCCAGTGCCGCAGCTGGGTCAGGCAGCTCTCCTGCATGGGCGTGAGGCGGCCCAGGCGCCGCTCCGCGGAGTCCGCGTCCGGCTTGTCTGGGGAGGAGGGGCGGGTCAGAGGGCGGGGCCGCGGGGCCTCGCTGGGCTCTGGCTGCGGTGGGGGACAGTCACAGGGCTCCCGATCGCACCCGCGGGTCTCTGACCCGCTCCCCAGGCGCTTCTGAGAACCGCGCCCGGGCTCTGCCTCTCGGCCTGGTGTCGCCTTTGCTGCTCGGCAGTAAAGACGCCTCCGATTATGAACAGAGCACGGCATGCTCTTCTCGGGGGACCCCGACTCCCCAAGGCCAGGGTCACTCTCGTCCGCTTTAGAGAAGGCGAAGTGCTGGCCCAGGGGGCCCAGTGTGGAGAGGGCAGTTCATGACTCAAGCGCCCGGTCTTCCCACCTCCCCGGCCTGTGCAGGGGGGAGGCCTGACCCCAAAGCACGCCAGCAGCTGCCCGGGTCACCCCCACCCTGGCCCCTCCCACGACCGGGCTGTGTGCGCTCAGCGTCTGCATGTACTTGGGGCCGGTGCCCTCATGGGGCGCACTGCTCACGGCCCGACACTGCGGCATTGCCGCAAGGGGGTGGCTCAGCCCCGTGGCATAACTGCTTTGGGGTGCAGACCAAACGTAGGCACAGCCAGCAGGCCCCCACTGCTCCCACCCAGAGAGCCCAGGGCTGGTGAAGGACGGGGAGGCAGAGGGATGCTGTGGGGTGAGAGGACTGTCCCGATGCCACAACACTCAAGGGTGGACAGAGCAGACAGGCTGGAGGCAGGGAGGGGCAAGGGGCCGTGAGGGAGAAGCACGCGGGCGGCAGGAGACCCCAGCACCCTGCGGCCGGCCGCCGGCGCCCTGAGAGCCCCTTCTCCCTGCCAAACAAAGGCGCAGTCTTCTGAGCGGCCGGCGCGGGCCTCCACCAGCCACCCCGAGCGCCGCCCCGCCGGCGGCCGCTCAGACGGAGGCAGGAGAGGGCCGGCGCGTGAGGGGCACCTGCCCGGGTGGCCGTGCGGTGCCGGTGCCCTCGACGCAGCCTGGCTGGGGACTGACTCTCGCGCTCCTGAACGCAGCCCGGAGGCTGACTGAGGACGGGGTGGGGGGCCGGATGAGCGCCTCGGTCAGCAGAGCGCTTGCAGGAAGGGGGACGCGGGGGGCCGGGAGGCAGTCACTGGGGCGGCAAAAGGGGTGGCTGGGCTCCACGGGGCAGCAGCGGCCTCCGGCACGTGCTGTCCTTCAGAAGCGTAACGAGTTCACCATCTGGGAGAGGCCAGGCGGCTGCTCGCGGGGACCCGCTCGCTGGCCTCCGGAAGGCCCCGCCAGAGACTGCCCGGAGACTCAACTTCTGACCTCTGCGGTAAGTACACGGACGCGCAAACATTGGCAAGCGCCGGAAGGACAAAGACGGACGCTCACTGGTGCCTCGAAAAAGAAAGCAACTAAAGGTGTACCGGCGTGGGGCTGCCCGAACCCTCAGACAGGGTGTGTCGCCCAGGGGTGGCGCGGGGCGTCCCGGTGGCCGAGGGGCTGTGTCAGCGCCACCCCCGGCCGGGAGGGACCCAGGGCCCACAGACCCCTCCTGTCTCCCCGCTGCCCCCTCAGCAGTGCGTTTCAGTGGATCTGCCTGTTCTGCCCCGCTCTGTCTCTGGGGAGCCCTCTCACACCCCACACCTCTGGCCTGCACCCCAAAAATAAAGAAATAAAATTTAAAAAAACAGTAAGTTATGTTGCAACCGGGCGTGGAAGGCCGAGACCCAGAGGGAGCGGTCAGTCGGCAGAGCCGCGAGAGGCGGCCAGTCC